GCAGCACTAAGATCAAGTAAAACTAGCAATGAGATGCAGCCTTGGTCTGATGCAAGAAGCAAGTCATTTGTATATTTGTATATACTATAGTTATGTATACATGTATACAATATGTATACATATTGTACATCTATAGTTGTAAAGCACTGCAGTTTATCTTTTGGTCTGATGAATGAAGCTAAAGTATTATACGCTGTAGAATCTACATTTGTTTTAAAATAACAGTTGGTGGTTCGAGTACTGCTGACATCCCATTTGATGGGATTAAATCTATATACATTTATAATTAATAATATAGACGTCTTGCTTATTTCAGTGAGGTTTATCCATAGTTTTGAACAATAAAGTTTAAAAGCTTCAAAGGAAACCACTAAATTCTGAAAATCAAATATCTGTCAATCCCTTTAAGGGCTCCTGTGCAAACAGGTCTGCAGTACAGAAGCTGACACCATTGAAACTATTAGCAAACAAAGCCACGCTGAGGACAAATCATTTACCTTCATAGCGTCACAGACGCATTGGGAAGTTTTGCTTCCTCCAGCACTAATCTGTTAATCTGCTTTGTTTACACTGCTGCACTTTCATTGATACCACCACTCATGTTTTACACCACATTTAACCTGTAGTCCAACTCTAACACCCCTCAAAAAGAAGTTTCCAGAGCCTCTAGTGTGCTACTGTATGCTAATGGAGATTTTTCAGTTCAACAAATGTATTCATATAGATATGTAATATATGACATATATTGATCTATATCATGACCTATATATACATATTGCAATATTTGTTACCTATAGGGCGATATATTTTTTTACCATAGGTACACTCTCCAGGTAGATAAAGATATAAGTTTTTAATACATATAAAAACCTTTAATAAATTATATGTTCATACTGTATGTTAATATATATATATATGATGATTTTTTAAATATGATATATGTAGCAAATGTCAACAATGTATATTTGATTTATGTATGACCGGGTTTTAGGATGGATGTACATGTATGTCCAAAAATGTATTACACACGCATAAACATACATATTTATGGGCTATATGTTAATATCAGTGTTGGGGATGTTACTTTTAAAAGTAATTATACTTTTATAATATTGCAGTACTCCATAAAAAAGTAACTAATTGCATTACATTTTATGGAAAGTAATGCATTGTGTTACTTTTGCATTATTTTTTAAATAAATGTAAAAATAATGTGTTACTAGTTACTTAAAAAAAGTAATCTGATTGTGTAACTAATGTGTTACCCCCAACACTGGTTAATATATGAAAATTTTCCAATATTGAATAGGTTTCATGTATGTTTTTACTTAATTTGACAATATATTTCATATCAGGAAATTTAACATCAAATGTACAAATATTACATAATAATATTACATTTGCATATGGATACTAAACAAAATGCTATCAATGCAGAATTGCTTAACAAAGACTTATTTAGACGTTTTAAACCATTTGAAACCTAGTTTGAAGTTTGTGCACTTGTAGTGTACTTCGAATCTTAAAAGTTTATTAAAATACAAAACTATTGCAGATAATATATGACTTGGGTGTACTTAAAGAAAGACACTTTCATGACTGTTTCTAAATATGTGCTTTAGTCGACACATCAAAATAAGTGCACTTCTAAAAGACTATTAAAACATAATAATTGAAAATGTACTTCAAAGTAAAACGTACAAAAGTTACAAACTGCACTATTTAAAAGTATGCCTAACTATGCACGAGGAAAAAAGAAGATACAATACATGGTGAGGTATAGAGACGCAGGAATAGCAGGAATGACCCATAAGAGTATCTATAAATACAAGAACAGGATGTGATGCATCAGAAGCTCGTGGAGTTTATATATACGTACAGAACATGTCATGCTGTGCCATGCATTTCTCTGCATGGGTGGCCTCATTGGTCAAGAGAGACACCACTGTCAGCTTAAGGCGTTTGTTTCTATGGTAATGGCCAGGACTTGGGAAGCTATCTGGCTTACTGGAAACATGCTTTATTGTTGACTTGCAGGAAGGGGGTGGAGGAGCTGCAAGTGCGGCCGTAGTGGCAGTGTTTGGGTCTGTGAGGTGTCTGTCTCATCGCTGGGGTCAGGTGGCTCAGCTTTGTGGCCATTCAGGTCAAACAAAAGAGAGCTGGATGTGCGATACGGCCAAACACACGTCACCATTCACACCTTTCACCTGATACCCCTGACAACACTTCAGCAGAACGGCCTCTGGGGCAGCAGCCAGTGTGCTTCACTATGAAAAGACCAACAAAAATCAGTCAGTTAAAGGATTAAATAGTTCACCTAAAAATCTGTTCGCCCCCATGCTGTTATTTTTTGTTGTGGACCAAAAATAGTGAACTTTTACCGCTCAGAAGTTCATCATGACCACATTTGTTAACCAAAAAGCTTCCTGTTCCTCTCACAAATCTCTCATATGACTTTTTGAAAGTCGTGCACAAGTTGTGGTCTGCCTGACAGTGGTATCGTGGAGATAAATAATATTCATGGAAATCAGTAGAAATAGCTTTAAAGTATATTTTAGTATACCACAAATGCTGGTATGGTAGTACACTTTAATATTGTTCATATTTTTAGGAAACTCAGAAGTCACATATGAAGATGTTTTTAAGTCCTACTTAAGTGAGTCAAAAGCTTGCACTCTAAAGGTTAGCTAATTGTATTTAGTATAATTAAAACTAAAATACATTTTCAAAAATGAAAATTCTGTCATTGGTACTCACTCTAAGTGGAACACAAAAGACGATACTTTGAAGAACACTGGGAAATCAAACAATGACTTACAATGTATGGACAAAAAATAAAATAAATAAACTGGAACATTTCTCAAAATATCTTCTTTTGTGAGTTTTTGCAAGGGAGTCAAAAGCTTGCACTCTAAAGGTTAGCTAATTGTATGGAGTATAATTAAAACTAAAATACATTTTAAAAAATGAAAATTCTGTCATTGGTACTCACTCTAAGTGGAACACAAAAGAGGATACTTTGAAGAACACTGGGAAATCAAACAATGACTTACAATGTATGGACAAAAAATAAAATAAATAAACTGGAACATTTCTCAAAATATCTTCTTTTGTGAGTTTTTGCAAGGATGATGTACTTCTGTAGGCCAACCTGGAAGGCATCACACTGGTTCCCTTGACAAAACCCCAACAGGATTTTGGATTATTGCAGAAAATAAGCTCTGTGACCAACAAAAGTTTATAATTCTTACCAGTTGCGTTCATTATGATAATCTTCATAAATTAACACTTTTTTTTCTGACACGTAAAAGCAGTTTAGGCCATAAGCTTAGGCTTAGGCCATAAACAAACCACAACAGGGTCACATGACTTCAATGTCACCATCAGTACACATCCAACAGCTCTTTCAGTCTTTATTAAAAAATAATAGAATATTTAGAATATTTTGCAAGAGTGGGATTGTAAAGACATTGAGTTAGATGGGGTTTCCTGTTTGCCATGACATTAAAGGTCCCCAACAGACTCTTTTTCAAGACAAGTAAAAGCTTTAAAAATCACAAGGAGATATTACTGATGTATTTTATGTTGTATAATAAAATGTGGCAATATATTAAGCTTGTGTTAAACACAGACCGTATTTCAGGCATTTAATTAAACACACACACACACACACACATGTTGTGTTTCCATGTTTTATGGGGACATTCCATAGGCGTAATGGTTTTTATACTGTACAAACTGTATGTGCTATTGCCCTACACCAACCCTACCCCTAAACCTACCCCTTACAGGAAACTTTGTGCATTTTTACTTTCTCAAAAAAACTAATTCTGTATGATTTATAAGCTTGTTTCCTCATGGGGACCTCAAAAATGTCCCCACAAGGTCAAAATTTACTAGTATTACTATCCTTGTGGGGACATTTGGTCCCCATAACGTGATAAATACCAGGTACACACACACACAAAACATTGATATCAGGAAAATGTAACCGGAAGTGTTAAATGCATCTTTGTTTTGGCCTACAAAAATACGTAAACCCTGCACGACTCGTATGTGTACTATGTGCTGTGCTGCCATCTACTGGTAAAGGCGCTCAATCGCATGTATCGTGTCTAGACTCTTTGCGCACTAGGACCCTGAAACGACAGAGACAGACAGAAGTAAACATGGCAGACAGAGACACATGCACAAGTGCTCACAAACACAATGTTTATGAGGAGCTGCTCAGGTAACCGTCATCATTTATTCATTGTAATAAAGCGCTTGTGCCGTTAGTTTATTGATTTGTTCTCGCAGTAACACAAACAGAAGTAACAGCCCTGTGTCATGCTGGAAACAGGAAACATGCGCTAGCCAGCAAACAAGCAAGCAAAAGTTAGACCACGTGACACAAGAAATGTATCTGCTGCAGTTTTTTAATGACCATCTGAATACGTGAGGATCAACTCACATTTGTTTCCATCCGAGCATGTTACACAGTACAGGTGATATTTATGGCTGGCGAGGGCTCCTTTAAAACAAACACAGCAAAGGTTGTCTACCAAAAATTTCCAATAGTAGACAGTAGAAGTTTGTCCTTTTTTGAAACACGGTGAATAGTTGTCATTCTCACCACAGCTCGGATTATTCTTTATTATAAAACGGATATTTCCGGTCCTTGATTCGGATTTGTTTGTAGTTGCACTACAAACATACACCTTTGTTTACTTCTGTGTGTTGCTCGGCAACCACTTTGTTGCAACCACAACTGTTTCTGAGGAACTACATTGTTTGGTGGAAGAATACTGTTTTTATTTATATCATTACACTTTATTTGCTCTGTTTTATTCTGTGAACCCTTACTATGTATATGGAATAACCGTTTTATAAAAGCAATAAGCCCCGTGAAGCCTTGGTTTACAGTTAATTTATAACAGCTAAGGGGGGTTTTAGGCACTCCAGCTTCGCGTCGTACCGAACAACGCCCCTTAGCTGGTATAAATTCACTGTAAACCACGGCTTCACGGGGCTTATTGCTTTTATATCATTCTGTGGTGAAAATGACAGTGTGAACATTTTGCTATAAAATTTCACATGCTTTAGGCTTACTCCGACTAATTTAGTAGCTATAATTGTATATATCTTAAATACAGACATAATAATTTCACACTAGTTGCATAATTCAACAATTACAGCTTGATTGCAAATGACACAATAGAAATGTTCAGCTCTAAAGTATTCTAAAGTAACCTTGTTTTTACTTTACATCGCAAGCATGTTCGAGTGAAAATGATAAACCGAGACATTCATGATTTGTGTAAATAATTGATACTAATGATTTTCACACAATCAGAATTGTAACGTTTCAAGTATGTTCATGGTTTTAAACTAGAGCCCGACCGATATGGGTTTTTCGGGACCGATACCGATATTAGGGAGTAAAAAAAATACCGATACCAATATATCGGCGACAGGCTCATATTGGCCGATAATATCGGCAAAACGATATATCGGTCAGGCTCTATTTTAAACATAATAATATTTGTATAAATGTATTTTTTATATATTGTGACATTTAATGTATGGGTTTATGACAAAAGTAAAGCAATAAAATTATACATGCATAAGTTTATAGAAGTTCATATAACAAAAAAAGTTGGATTAAAATAAAAATTCACTAATTTATTCACTTGCGTTATATATTTTATTAAAAAAAAAAATAACAATAAAAAATAATAAAATAATTCTCCTCATAATGTTAAATCAAAATGCTATAACTGCATCTTAAACTCTGTCCCTGCCATCTCATGTTCATCTTCCTCCAGTTTTGAGTTCAACGGCCACATTTTAGCATCTAATCAACATTTTTTTTTTTATTGTTAATGTGTTTCACTCTGATGTATGTCACAATATGGAAGAAAAGATCTGTCGCTACCTCTGTTTTATCATCTTTATTTTGTCAGTATGAGACCATATTAACATGTCAACTGTGTCCTGTTACACATGTTTTTTTTATATCACGTTTCTATGTATTTGTCTTGGCTTTGCATGGTTAACATGTCAACTGTGTCCTGTTACACATATGTTTTTTTTATATCACGTTTCTATGTATTTGTCTTGGCTTTGCATGCAGTCCATCAGAGCTGTTTGAGGCGAGGTCCCGGAGCCATAAGATACCGGTGAGGGGTCAGAAAGACTTCCTGCCCAGTGGGTCGGAGCAGCAGACGGCCCATCTGCAGCAGAGTCTGGACGAGCACTGGACGCTCCTGGCCGAGGAGAGAGTCGAGAGACTGTGAGTGGTTTCATAAAAACACACAACACTCACTTACTACACAACACACGAAAGCTAAGAAGACAGAAAGAAATGTGGTGCTGTGTTTGTGTGTCTTATCCGTCTGCACAGAGGGAATCTAGTGAAAGCTGTCTGGATCCCTGACGAAAGACTAGTGGAGCTGCAGTCACCAGCAGTGAGTCCATGACAGACACCAAATGAAATCTCCATTTGTTCATAGCTAGGCCACTCTCAGTAATTATGCCATGTTTTGCAGGGGAAGTTTTGGCAGACGATGGGTTTTTCAGAGAGAGGCAAGCAGTACCTGCTTCCTGAAGAGGCTCTTTACCTTATGGAATGTGTGAGTGGACACTTTCATACTCTTATTTTTACGTACCATCGTAACTGTATATTTGTGCAGTTAGTAGTATTTTAAAGGGGTCATATGATGCGATTTCAAGTTTTCCTTTCTCTTTGGAGTTTTACAAGCTGATTGTGCATAGATAAGATCCCTGAAGTTGCAAAGACTAAAGTCTCAAAACCAAAGAGATATTCTTTATCAAAGTTAAGACTCTGCCACGCCCCCCTAAAATGGCTCGTTCTAACACGCCCCCACATATCTACCTCACTATGTGGAAATATTAGCATAATGTGGCCCAAATGTGCACGCAAAGAAAGAAGGCGTGGTTTCAGTAACCGCAGTTAGTGTTGAAGCAGCATGTCAGGGAGACGCTGTGTGTTTCTAGGCGAAAGCAAAAGCACTTTATTTGGCCTTCCGGAAGTAGATGCATTTAGGAATCTTTAAGATTACTTACAACAGAACAGCAATGCATTTTATGGACGACCGTTTCATGAACCTAGGAGAGGAGGTAATTCTGACTTTGCTATGACAATCTGGCACTTCTGAATCAGCGACTGTAAGTATGTTTTGTTACTAGTTTAAGTATTTGCTATTGACTGTTCAAATGCGGAGTTTTGTGCATCGTGTGTGTGCGCACGCGCGTGCACGTGTGTATGTGAGAGAGAGAGAGAGAGAGAGAGAGAGACAGGGCCACATCACAGTAGAGTCAGCTGTCTTAACCGTGGCTTATGTACTGCAAACACATACCAGCTTCATCACTGTGTCTGTCACGCGACTCTGTTCCCCTTTCTTAAGATGAACATTTACTGAAGCACGTTTACTTGATTATTACTTGATAAAATGGTCATTTGTACAGTTAGCTCCATATATATTTGGACACTGACACAGTTTCCATAATTTCGGCTCTGTATGCCACCACAACAGAATTAAACTGCATGATGTGGGTTCACAGCAACAGCTTCCAAATGCAAACGGCACACTTAGAATCAACTCAAGGCCTTTTACCTGCTTAATTGATGTAGAGATAACGAAGGAATAGCCCACGACTGTCCATGAAATGGCTTTTTGAGTCAACTGTCCAATTACGTAGGTATAATTTTGAAAAATACCGTGATATAAATTTTTGGTCATTTTGGTCACTAGCGCCCAGCACTAGTAGAATCTACAAGGCTTACTGTAAAAGCTTCACTTCCATGATTTATGGAACAAGCTGTGTCTTCCTCCTTTGTAAAATCTGTTCTCTGATTGTAGAAAATAAATCCAGCCTCATTTGACTTCAGATATTCTAAGAGATGCATTAAATTAGAATGAAAGCATAATCATGTCTATTATCAATATCTTTTTAATACATTTTTTTATAATAATTCTTTTTTTAGCCCAATCGAAGTGTTTAAATGAGCTCATTCAAATATTTTACAAATATAATTTTAAATCTTAATACTTTTCTGCATTAAAAAGGGCAAAACTCCCTTTTTTAAATATCTTAAAAAGAAACGTTTTAGATATAATGAGCTTTATTATCTCAGCAGCTAGTCACTTGAGATGTTTGGCTTCCCATAATTCAAATGGGTGTATTCAAATCCCTATACAAAACAGTACTATACAAATTAGTCTGCACTGCATGGTGGAAACAGGTCAGATGATGCAAGATGACGATAACATTTTAACTGAAATGCTGTATTGACCAATAAGAAGCTAAATCTTATTCAAATCTTATAAATAGCATGATAATTAAATATTGTTAAAAAGAATTAAAAATATAGTTAAAATATAATTAAAATAATTAAAAATAATATTTGGTTACACTTTATTTTAAGGTATCCTTGCTACAGTGTAATTATACATTTAAGTACTGAGTAATATCAATTAACTACATGTACTTACTATATGGTTAGTGTTAGTTTTAGGGTTTGGCTTAGGGTTACTTGCATGTAATTATGCATAATTAATTGTTAATATAATTGCAAGTACTGTACATGTAAAATGTGTAACAAGGACACCTTAAAATAAAGTGTTACTAAATATTAATTTTTTAATTAAGATACTTTGATCTCATTTGATTAATTTCTTGTTTTTATTTGGAACTTGATTGAATGCAAATCAAAAAGATTATGCTAAACGAACGATGAGTTTGGAATCAGTGCAACAGCTGAATTACAATCAAAATATGATTGAGTGAGGCACATTTGAAGCCTTTGTATTGAGAGGTCTCTTCTGCTCACCAAGCCTGCATTTATTTGATCCAAAATACAGCCAAAATAGTAATATTGTAAAATATTATTACAATTTAAAATAACTGTTTTCAGTTCTAATATTTTTAAAATGTAATTTATTCTTGTGATGCAAAGCTGAATTTTCAGCATCATTACTCCAGTCTTCAGTGTCACATGATCCTTCAGAAATCAGTCTAATGGTGCAAACAGGTCGGGTGATACAAGAGGATGATAAAGTCATATAAGCAGGGACAAAACAGCTTGAAATATTAATAAATTAGTTTTGGTGGCCTGAAATTTTGCCTGGGTGGCTGCTAAATCCTGCTTAAACTGACTCAATCTTCTCATCTCTGTCTTGATTGCCATGTGGCCTCAGTGACAAACAAAACACACCACCAGAGGAGAAGACGACAACTGAAGACCAAAGTGAGGAGCTAGTCAAGACAGAGCCGCCTCTGGAGGAGCCCATGCAGTCCGCCGATGCCTCTGACAGGACGTGGTGGATGGAGGGGGATGTCCAGCCGTCTCCTGCTCAAGCCCAAAGAGCAGCTCCTCGCTGGGACTTCAGCAGCATCTCTTTCCCGGACCTGGGCTCTTGCCGGAGCCGCTCCGTCTCTCTGGCGTCTCCAGACCCCAGCCTGCTGCCCGGAGCGCTGGAGGTGGGCGGCTGCGATTTGTCCCCGTGGCTCAGCAGACTCAACGTGAAGCAGGAGAAGCTGTCGCGGCGGGAAAGGGAGCGTCAGAGAGACAGGGATCGCTATCACAGGGATATGAACAGTGACCGAGAGGTGCGGCACTGCAGGAACTGGGCCGAGTATTTGCAGCTGCTGGAGGACAGGAGGAGACGGAGGCAGAAAGATAGACCTGTGCATCTGTGGGAGAAGGAGGTGACGCCGCTCACTCAGCCGGGCCAGTGCACCTCACACCGTAAGAACACACACTTTCATTAGACAGTGAATGAACAGATTTCTTAAACGACAGTCTTGAGCCAGTGATGTTATGTCTGACCCAAACAGACTGCTCAAACGAACAGATTGCAGGTCTGTTGTTTAGCGTTGCTAGTGGCACAGAAATGACACAGATATGTTTAAAATGTTGTTGTTGTTGTTGACTAAATGCATCTCTAGTCTTTATGTATTATTTTGCGAATCAAACATAAGAATTAAGAAGTGTTTGGCTATTCTTTCTTATAAGGTTTATTATACAACTGTGACACTTTACAATAAGGTTCCATATGTTAACATTAATATTAATGAATAGTAGCGTTCATATTAGTGAATGTCATACTATGTTTATCAAACAGTATTTGTTTATGGCATTTATTAATCTAGGTTAATGCCAAGGAATGTATTATTGTGCTAAATAAATAGAAATAATAATACATCCATAAAATAATATAATAAATTAGCAATAAACAGTGTTGTTTTATTTTCTAGTAATAATAAACAAGTAATATTGTTACTTGTTTTTGTCATTATTTTTTTTTATATTTCTATAGAGGTAAGTTATTTTTATTTTGGTTTTAGTTTAAAGGGTTAGTTCACCCAAAAATGAAAATTCTGTCATTAATTACTCACCCTCATGTTGTTCTAAACCCGTAAGACCTTCGTTCATTTTCGGAACACAAATTAAGATATTTTTTATGAATTCTGAGAGCTTTCTGACCCTCCCATAGACAGCAAGGTAACTACCACGATCAAGACCCAGAAACGTAGCAAGGAGATCTGTAAAATAGTCCATGTGACATCAGTGGTTCAACCGTAATTTTACGAAGCTACGAGAATACTTTTTGTATGCAAAGAAAACAAAAATAACGACTTTATTCAACCATTCGTCTCCTCCGCGTCACCCTGGGGCCATTTCGGAGAGTATCCACTGAACGTAAACAGCGTATGCTATTCTGTGTCAGCTGCTTCACGCAGATACGTTTTCTACGTTGTCCAGGGTGACACGGAGGATATGAATTGTTGAATAAAGTCATTATTTTTGTTTTCTTTGGACACAAAAAGTATTTTCGTAGCTTCGTAAAATTACGGTTGAACCACTGATGTCACATGGATTATTTTACCGATCTCCTTGCTACGTTTAGAATGTTAGAACGACATGAGGGTAATTAATGACAGAATTTTCATTTTTGGGTGAACTATCCCTTTAAGTCAAATTTAAAAGCATTTCTAATTTTAGTTTAAGAGTATTTATTTATTTTTTACATTTATTTTATTTAGACTAATTTTAATAGTTGTAGTTTTAGCTAACAATAACAGCAATGGTAACAAAAATACTAAATAAATAAATATAATATCAATAATAATAATACTGTATAATAATAATAGAATTAATTCATGTTTGTTTACAGTATATTGAGTAATAGTAATTTATGCAATTTAAATGTTAAAAATGTATTTGTATAGAAATTAAGATTAATATTAATGGTTCATTGTAAGTACATGATACCTAATTAATACTCATTAAGTAACTTTAACAATTTTTTTTATTGTTAGTTGTATTTAAAAGGTTATTTTCAGTTTGATTATTTTATAATATGTAAATAAAAGGATATGCGTTAATAATTTGTAATAATTAAAATAGGTTTGTATTCTTTAAAAAAAAAAAAAAAAAAAAA